AATAGCCAACAGCAGTGGACAGGAGCTGAACAGAGACCGGATTACTCTTCAGTTTAATTTGAGCTGCTATGGACTAATATGCAGACAAGCATGGCAAAGCGAGCTCAATTATAGGACGTACCAATGGACCACAAATGTTTCTACGTTGCTGCACAGAAACTTTATTTGTAACCAAAGTTGTACTGTAGAATTCTAATGTACCAGAGCACCCTGGCTGGCCTAATTTCAGTACGATTCAAGCAACGCACGTGCTGGCTAATCAACCACACCCAAACGTCTCATTGAGCATCGTCACCACCACGCTTGTCTCGATGACCCAGAGAAACACAACTTTTCTCTGAAACGCAATTGCCCATGGGTGATGCAACGGACGTGGGGGGGCGCTCTCAAACAGAAAACCTAGCTAAATCTTGACTTAAAGCTTTCGTGACTGCAGGAATTCATATTCTTTGGGTCTTTCGATAAAGTCACGTAAATAGGTTCAAATTTTAAAAAATAAAATAAACAAACTACGTTTTGATCACAACACAAGCGATCGTCATCATAGTAGTTTTTGGTTTATTTTATTTTTATTCATTTGAACCCATCTACGTGACTTTACCGAAAGACCCAAATAATAAAAACGTCACTACTTGCAATGCAATTTTTTTATTGCTGTGGGGGGAAAATAAACCTTAAAACGAGATTAAAAACACAACAGCGCATCTCATTGTAATTTGGAAGTCCTCAAATAAAAAAAAACAAGATTTAAAACTACGTTAGTTTGATTCTTTCACATTGTGGTGCATGAGTGCTTGTAGCGGTTGAAGGCGATCCCATACAGCATCAAGAGGAACCAAATATAATTGATCATTTGTGAGATTTGCTGGACGTGTCTCGAGCCAAAAGCAATGTTCTTACCCCCCCAACTCCCAGACGAGCCAGGCAACAGGGCACCAACATCAGGGTTCTCTGGACAGTCGATGGCAGCAACCACAAGCCGGTAACCAACAGAGCAACGGTGTAGAGGTAATCGGGTTTAATGGATCAACGCAAAAGGACAAGACAAAGATCCCCCATATAGCCTCAACAGACTGTTGGGGCAAGTGCTGTTAGCGAGCACCTGTGAAGGCCGCCACGGCACACGAGGGGTGGATGGCCAGCACGACGCCAGACCGCCTCTGTCTCCCAAGTGGCGACGATTAAACACCGCACCAGGTACTCGTTGGAGGCCCAGTCCACGTAGGGGAGACCCAGAGGCGCTTCAGACAATCGTCACTGGTGCTGGCCGTGAACAGGAATCGAACTCGGGTCGCCGAGTGCGACGCAGTGGGACAGGCTGGGCAATTCACCAACAGCAGCACCCTCTCAGACCTCATTCACATGCACGAGGATACGAAGTAAAAGTTTAAAATAACCCAGTTAGCATGGTTTGCAGGAGAGGTAAGCGGAGTATTTTTTTAATTCAATAAAATATAATAATATACTTAAGTCCATAACATAGGGTTTTTTGGGTTGGATCGCGTAAATATAAATGTGTCGTTAAACCCGCCACCACTGACACAAATTTATATTTACGAGATCTAACGCAAAAAACATGGATATTGGTCGCGAAAGCCGACATGTCAAATGCTGAAGTGTGTAAATGTTAAAAGACACATTGAAATAAAAACTCAGCACTTGCGTCAATAACACTGCCTTAAAAAAGAAATGTATTATAATACTGATGACTAATAATATATTATGTACCTTGCTTTTTAAGGCAACGTTATTATTGAGAAGCGTGTCGAGGGTTTTTTTGGTGCTCATGCACCAACGCAGCATCACAAAATTATTAATTTAAATCTTAAACAGTTACTCTGTGAACTTTCACAACTGCATGTTTCCCTCTGTACAGGTGTCATCACTTGCCCTGCGATCACACCTGACAGCAACACTGCTTGTTCTGAAGTCTTCAATGTAATTTCAAAACGAAACATTTTAGACAAGACAAAAAAAGATGCGTTTCTCGTCACGAAAATGGCATTCAATTACTTCTTAGCAACTCGCGAATGAAGAAACGCTGGAATTCCCCAAAAAATATAGATCGTCTAGCTATGCAGTGTGTTCACATGCAATCATCGTCCTAACACAATTCAGCTCATTCCACTCCAAATTATGAACGAGTAAACCAAGTGACAGGAGCGTCGGTGAGCGTGAAATCCACGTGATTGTGTAGCAGTGGCCACCCACCGCGGTACAATACTCACATCAGAGCCTTCCAACCATTCAACGTAGGCGAGGCAGAAAGATTTGCCCATTTACCTCGTTTTTTGTCTCGCTTGCAACATTAACTTTGCGATCAAAAATAAAATGTGGACTTTCTCAGGTTCCATTCGCTTCGGCGAAGCGTCCCCAGCCGGGCAGCGGTGACATCTGCACTCGCGTGGAGTCGGGTAAAGGTGAACAAAAACTAAACATCGCTGTGTCCGATGGTGCGAGGTGCAAGCAAGTCTATCGACGCACGACATTGTCAGTTGGAAAGCCCTTTAACCGAGACCAGTATGCAACAATTGACAAAAAAAAACTAAATTATAAAACATAATTATTTTCCCAAGATCGGAGGAATCAAAGATACACGCGGACCGTGGAGATTTTGCGAAGGATGTATCTGGCGAGCGGCGACACCCCTTCACCATTTAACGAAACAAAGAGATATGCAGAAAATATTTTATCCACAAAATCAGCCAGCACTTGAGCACAAGCGTGGGAGCCGACAAAAACCAAAAAAAATATTGAAATATTAATACCACCCACTTTGTCTTCACGTTAATCCAAAGCAGAAAGTATATCAATCATGACATTATTATTATCATCACAATACTCCAAAGCGTGAACAACAAATGAGGATATTCACAGTTACATTAGTGCACCTGAAAACTACATCAGGTGAGCCACCAACCACCTAAAATAGCTGCCAACGGTGAGAGATTTAAATATGAAATTTAAACCTGGTAATGGATCAAAGATCTCTTCACGCAAGGTCTAACATATCAGTCCAGCTATTTTTTTAGCTTTTTTTAAGTTTTCTGGGTTTTTTTTTTTTACCCCAAGACGGTCTCTGCGATATTAAATGTACAAAAATAAACACTGTGTTCAATGCTGTAAAGACACAGTTATGTACAACGTTAAATGTATTAATAACTATGACATGTCAAGGATTTTTAAGTATTGTTACAATAATTTTATGTTATTTACTTTGTATTTGGTATGTTTGAAAAATTATACAGTCCTATAGGATAAGACTCAATGGAATTCACGACAGTGTAGTTGCGTGTTTTATTTCTGTACAAGGTAATGCTTTCCTGTCGTTCACAATTCGGGTCAACAATAAACTCGCAAAGAAAAAATAATAGGATAAAATAAGAAGTTTTCAGAAAGAATCTCGTTCAATGTCCCTTCCTACGCATGTCTCTGCAAGTTGTTACAATACAAAAATAAGGAATAACTCTGCAGAAAATGAGTGCGCACTTCAACTTGTAAAAAGGAGCGAACGGTTAAACGTGTCGCAATAAGGTTGTTTTCGTCGAAAGATTTTCATTCGGCCGTTTCAAATTCCTTGCCATGCCTACCCGAGCACGGACCCCGCAACACCCGTCTCTCTCTCTCACCCCGTCTCTCTCTCTCTCTCACCCCGTCTCTCTCTCTCTCTCACCCCGTCTCTCTCTCTCTCACCCCGTCTCTCTCTCTCTCTCACCTCGTATCTCTCTCACTCTCACCCCGTCTCTCTCTCTCTCTCTCACCCCGTCTCTCTCTCACCCCGTCTCTCTCTCTCTCACACCCCGTCTCTCTCTCTCTCTCACACCCCGTCTCTCTCTCTCTCTCTCTCACCCCGTCTCTCTCTCTCTCTCACCCCGTCGCTCTCTCTCTCTCACCCCGTCGCTCTCTCTCTCTCACCCCGTCGCTCTCTCTCTCTCACCCCGTCGCTCTCTCTCTCTCACCCCGTCGCTCTCTCTCTCTCACCCCGTCGCTCTCTCTCTCTCTCACCCCGTCTCTCTCTCTCTCTCTCACCCCGTCTCTCTCTCTCTCTCACCCCGTCTCTCTCTCTCTCTCACCCCGTCTCTCTCTCTCTCTCTCACCCCGTCTCTCTCTCTCTCACCCCGTCTCTCTCTCTCACCCCGTCTCTCTCTCTCTCACCCCGTCTCTCTCTCTCACCCCGTCTCTCTCTCTCACCCCGTCTCTCTCTCTCTCACCCCGTCTCTCTCTCTCTCACCCCGTCTCTCTCTCTCTCACCCCGTCTCTCTCTCTCACCCCGTCTCTCTCTCTCTCACCCCGTCTCTCTCTCTCACCCCGTCTCCTGCCTGCCCTCGTTTGTGGAATAGGATTGGGGGGGGGGGGCAAGGGAGGGCTTTGGCAAACCTCGCGAGGGCCGGTGGCGAGGTGCGACGATACCGTCCAGATATCCCGACGATAAAAGACGCACGCAATTGGAAAGTTTAACAATTTCATATTTGAAATAGGAAGAAATTTGGTGCGTGCCACTTTAAGCCAACCGACCAGCAAGAAAAATGCAGTGTGATGATCTGCATTTTAAACATTAGACTTATTTCCTGAGGATGAATGTTCTGCACATATTAGTTGGAATGCTGTGCAAAGCTCATGGCTCCAGCGGCTTGCAAGTCACTGCTATGCATCAACACCATGCGGATCGCCAGTCCTTACTAAAACCTCATCATTTGGTCACCATCGGCAGTCTTCTACCATTGTGAACTTACAATCATTGTTGTTTTATCAGGCCACGCTCATCTCTGCAATCACTCCCAATGCGAACTCAATAAAGATGATACTTTTACAAGGCCCCGTCAATCCACCGCCGGATGGAGGCCTCCCCCGACACTTGTGGAGGTCAATGGGGTTGTTTGACTATACTTCACTACGCAGGCCAGTGTGGTTTAGTGGAAGGTGGGGGGGGGGGCAAGGACTGGTTGAGAGAGATCACTCAAGGAATAAATTGACAAATTAAAATGATACTTCCGCTGAAATCTATTTCCACAGCAAGCAACTTTAGTCGCTTTATTCTTGGTTCTTTCGGTAAAGTCACCACGTAGAAGAGAAACAATAAAATAATAAAATATAAAACAATAAAATTCTCACGTTTCGACTGCAGCACAAGCAACCATCGAAAGAACCAAGAATATGAATCCCTACAGTCACGAAAGCTTTAAATCAAAATTCAACTTTAACCTGTTTTTGTACTTCAAAATCCGCTCAGAATTTCAGGCTACCCCATTTCTTAAAGTTCCTTGAGATGCAGTCACATTCAGACACTTTATAAATCCAAATTACATTGCACATCTGTGGAGTCACGGATACATTACATTCTGCAAAACGCTCAACAGGTGCTCTAAAATCAGAGCTATCACTAATCATGTCAGGCTGACCGACTTAACCGCACCAGCTGTTATTGAAGAATTGTATTTGCAAAATCACAAACTCATGAGTAACGTTAGAAATATATATTTCCATTGAGATGCAAAACACGATGAGCACGGTTGGCTGCGTACGGTGCAAAAGAAGTTGAAGATACTTGCGTACATAATCAAGTACGATTATTAATGACATGGATATAGAACCTCTTTACCACCTAGTGGCCAATGGGTACAGCCTTTTGCAGATTTTGATTGAGAGCCAACTTCAGAACACCCATTCCACTGGTCGCTTAATTTGAATCCGAGCAGAGCCATCAACACGGATTGTCGTGCCCGCCGATGGGATACCACCTCTGCTGTTAAACCAAAATGTTTTACCACGGGATGGATGCCCCAATCACCGCTGTAAAAGGAAACACTTGAATACAAACTGGTATCATTCAGTGCCGTGTGCACGGAAAGTCCACGTCAGGTACGGGCGCGGTACAACGTTCCGCCTGCTATTTGATGAACCTCTCCCAAGGACTCGACGTCACCACCGCTTCAAAGGTCACTCGAGCAATGAAAACCAAAATCAGTTGAAAATATAGATAGTACACGGCTTTTCAAAACCAGAGCAATTACACGTGTGCTCTTCAAGCAATAAGCAGTCAAACTTGTACGTGCAATTGATGTCCCGGCCATAAACGAATCCCAAAACACTGCAAAAGCCATGCTCAGCTTGTAAACGGCTTTCCTTGACCGACAATCTGCGCCTTGCACAGCAGTTTAATTCTGGATTACGGCAGTGGGTCGCTACATTCGGCAGAACAAAATTAATCGTCCGCCCAGAGTCTTCATGCTGGTGGTGAGATACGATTTCGTTTCCAATGAAAAACATGAAAAGAGACCCCCCGAACAATCTTTAACATTTAAACTCCCCTCATTTTTGAAAGACCGTGTGCACGTTTACAGCAAACCCTAAACATTCAAACACAAGGACTTACAAAAACCCTACGGAAAATAATCTACTGGTTTTTCTTAACAGACCAAGTGTTCTCTTCTGTCTTCTCAAATGTTGTTAAAGTATTTCAAGCCATTGGCCCCATTTGTACAAGAACAATTATGAAAAAATACTCGACTTATGTCAGATTTTACACTCCGTTTTCTACAAAAGGCGGTACTGGATAAGCACCATAGGAATCAGATTTAGAAATTCTACTTCCTCTAGGAGATATAAACTTAACAGCCAAATGCCATTTTTATTGTAGCAAAAATGTACGCGATTCTGTACAGTTATTAGGGAGACATTTGAAATGGGACGTTTCGATGTCACCAAAAAAACATAAATTAAAAAAATGGTGACTTTCACAAGACCATAAAAAAAAACATTTAATTCAAAACGTATTACACAGTAATGCCTACTCCATGTCTGGGCTGTCATTTTGGTTCCAAGTCCCAAACACAAGTAGACCAACGTTTTAAATGTAATAGATGAAACGGAGAACAGATATGGGTCTATACAGGAGTTCCGAGTTCACCGTGTGGGTCACTAGCTCTTGCAGCTTTAAACAAAAGTGTTTGTTTTCCAGTTTGTAAATACGTCAACGTGAAAAACGGCACTGCCAGTGTCAACGCTCGCCCTTAAATCAAAACACGATGCGACCAAACGGCCACCAACGTTGAACCTCCTTCCCCACCCCCACCCCGAGCCCTTCAAGGGGCATTGCAGCAGAGACGGAAAGTACGTACGCAGCACGGTCCTGTTGGCTGACTTGTCTTCGTCCCATAGCATTGGCCACGAGGCCTGAATAAGACCGGCTTGGTGGAACCTGCAACTCGCATTCCTCGTATTCAGTTTGTTTTTCGTGAAGCAACTCTTCGATTGCAGTTCATCGTTTTCACAACAGCCGAGAATTTCCCCCGTGGCAAGACGGTTCAGCATACTGGCACAGCAACGTGATGTACCCCCAATTTCAAAGCCACAAATTGGGGATACAGTCAAAAGTTAATTTAGGAGTGCTTGACTTTTCTTCTGGGGAGGTGCCCCGCAGAGAAACTAAGAAAAGCAAACCCCTCACCCCTTCACGCTCACCCGAGGGAGCCCCCAACCACTAAAATCGCACGCCACTATTTTGGAAATCCACACCTTGAATACTCGCAGGCACTTTTGAGCACTAAAAAGAACTGGCGTCAGTCTCGCTCCGACGAACATCGCCACATGCCCACCATCGGCACGTAGGTACCAACGAAAAACCTTGCGGGCCGTCGTGCGTCGCGGGGCGGCAGGGCGAGGGACGGTCATCGGGCGGCCACCGTGCCGTCTCGCCGACGTAGCGACGCACGCCGTTTGGGACGGGGGGGGGGGGGCGGGGGTGCTCAGGGCTCCTGCTTGGTGCTGAAGAGCGCGAGGCTGGAGGAAGAGGCTGCGTTCACGCCGCACGGGGGGTCTGCGTCCATGGGCTCCTCCTTGACTGCCATCACTTTGTGGAAGGTTATGGAATGGATTTAGGCGAGCGGAAGACAAAAATAAGAAGACGCATAAGAAATACAGCTTCAACGGGAAAGACGCAGGAGAGGCACGTTATACGCCAACAGAAATCGCACAATTGTATAAAAAGGAAAATATACATTTTATCCGCACACCGCATATCAATATTTACCAACATAATTTTTTGTAAATAGGATCAACTTTATACTGCTAATATAGGTGTATTCCAGTGGCCGTTCATAGTTCCATACATCTCTATAACAAAGCACACGATACCAGCCAAGTCGAGAGAGCACTGCGTGCGCACAGCAGCCTTCACCAACTCCACTTGGGAAACGGAACCGGCACCCGCTGAAACCTTGCATTCAAATCCAGGCAATAGCCCATGATTAAACCAGCTTTACGAGTATACCGAGTTGATGGTCTCAGTCCAGTCACCAAGGAATGCACAAAAATCCCATTACATAAAAGTTGGCGGTACATTTATTTCAGCTATGAAAATTAACATTTTCGGTTCGATTGACGTGCGATCACTCTTTTCACAGCATGAAATGGTGTGCTGCTAGTGGTTACAGAGGCCCCATTGAAGAGACTTCAGAAGTCGTTCTGTTACGTCAACTTCCGGGGAGAGGTGGGGGTGGGGCAGGCGTTCTCCGACACAAGATGGGTTTTTACTGCTCAGCGCGAGAGTTCCAAATGGAATTTTTTTTTTTTGATCTCATGACGTATGAAGCCAATGGGCACAATCGAAATGCAATTGTGGAGAAAAATAAAAACGAGCAACACAAAACCCAGTGCAGCGTGACTGAGCGAGTGCTCACCGTGCCCCTCCGGCCTGCGCTCGGCTCGGCAGTCCACGCTGCCCAGGGCGAGGCCGTCGCGCCCTGACACGACCGTCTGTGTGGCCGGGAACGTCCTGCACGGGGGCGCTGCAGTGCTCTCGTCCTCACGGACACCGCCCCCGGCCGCCGGGTACCGCAACACCAAACCTGGCGACTGCTGCGGGCCCCCAAGGGCTATGGGCCGTCGACCCAGCGCCATTTTCCTCTCTGCGCGGGACGCAATACACTGCGTTTGGCACAATAACGCTTGCCGTTGTTGTCCCTAAGCGCGCGTGGAAAGGGGTTAGGCGGCCCGTACTCTTAGTCGAGGCTCGGCTCCTCTCAGACTCGAGTAAGCCGACTCAAAGCCGTGCTTGACTGGAGCAGGCTTCGATCACGGTCCCGAGCCACGCTGCGGGTTTCCACGAGGCGAGCCAAGCCACGGCAGAGCAGCCGAGCGGCTCAAGCCAGATCCGAGCCGTGACTAAGGAGCTGAGCCGTGACTAAAAATACAGCCCCTTAGGCAGGTGGAAGCGGCATTCTAAATGAAGTTATTTTAATCAATTAGCTCACTCACTTTTCTTGTGTCCTTTGTACCCAGATTTCGTTTTTTTCTTTTGCTTTGCGCCAGCGGGGTGGGGCGAAGCGGGCACTGTGAAAAATGTTGCGAGATGTTGCGTTTTTACCATTTTATACTTTCAATTGTTGTTATCTTAGGCCCAAAGAATGTCACGCGCTTTTCATGTTTTTTTTTGGAAATGGTTTGCAATCATCAAAGATCGTAACAAAGCAATGGAACATGCCAGGAAAGTTATGCACTGTAAAAACAATACATTGCAATGGCAACATTGGGGTGAACCTTATGCACAAGTGGACACTCAGCTGTTTGAAACGCACAAATTTAGATCGTGACCCAAATACACACGCACACCAAAATAAATTAGCCATCAGACTAAATATTAAATCCCTAAGGGATCAATAAAATAAGAATCATTTAAACTAGATTCGAAGCGTTCGTGACAGCAGGAATTACTCTTTGGTTCTTTCGGTAAAGTCACTTAGAAATAAATAATAATATAACACGACGTTTCGATTGCAACGCAAGCAACCATCATCAGGTAAGAATGAATGATAAAACACAGACACGGGAACAGCATAGGCAGATGCACATGCAGAGAGATACACAAAGACACGCCGAGCGAGACACACACCTTGTGCTTGTGTCTGTGTGTCTCTCTCTCTCTGCATGTGCGTCTGCCTCTGCTGTTCCCGTGTCCGTGTTTTATCATTAATTCACATCTGATGATGGTCGCTTGAGTTGCAACCGAAACGTCGTATTCTATTATTATTTTATTTTCTACGTGACTTTATCGAAAAAAACAAAGAGTAAGAATCATTTAATGCGGAAATCAACAGTGGTATTCCTATAGATATACTCACCCTCGACATGAGAATGTGGGATTTCCACCACTGGGTCAGGGATGTACAAATAAACAGAAGATGAGCACCGATGCCTAATACAGCTAATTTGAGCAAAAAATCCCTGTGACCTTCACGACTTTGAGTGAACGCCAGGGGTCTGAGAGAGGAGCACGGCCCGGGCACCCACCCACCCACTCACCGGAGGAGAGGGGCGGCTGCAGCTGGTACCCCGTGAGCTCACACCAGCCGACAGGGAAGAGGTCCGGGGACTGGCAGTCCACCCACTGGTCGTACTCGTCCTCCCAGCCGTCAAAGTGGATGCGCAGCAACCGGTTGACGATGCGCACGACCGTCGCCACGCAGATGAGCCGCGGCTCCATGAGGTCCACCGCCTCCAGCTTCATGCCCACACGGAAGCCGTGGTTTGGGATTTCCTGCCGACGACGAGGCGGGCGGGCAGCAATAATGGAGGGGGCGGGGTATGTATGGATGTATGACACGTAGGCTTTCGAGACCTAACTCAGAAGCGTTTATGTATGGATGCATGTTGAACTTTTGCACCGTACGTAGCCAACCTTGGTAATCGGAGGTGCGGGGGAAGGACAACAAATTAAACCACAAAAAGGGGTAGAAGAGGAGGAAATTTTATAAAGAGGCGGCCTTTCCCACAGGCCCAATAAAATAGAGCTTATTGGTACCCCTCGGGGTCGCATGTGCAACCAATGATTTTCTCAAAGCATTTTATCCGTAGATTATAATTATGTACGATAGCAAGGGCAAAGTGGTAGCTTTTTTTATGGAAAACAATCGTTAGAAGTAGGGTACTGTAGTGTTGGACGGAGAATATAGTTTCAGAAGAACAAAAAAACAATGCGAAATGAAACATCCACGAAATGTGAAAATAGGAAGTGCGTCTATAAAAGACAATATGTATAGTATGTACACGAATCTTTCTGCCCATGGCGGACAGTGGTCGCATTTTCCTCCCCGGGTGGTACCGAAAAAGCCCCTCGGCTCGAGGAAATACAACTTTGGCGTGCACCACTGCGCAAACAGCACCCTCTGTGGGTGATCAGTAGATGCACTCTCACGTAACCATTGCACTCACCTTGTTGAAGAGGCTGACTGGAGCAGCAGGGGAGCTGGTTTCCCGCAGGTACTCAAACCAATTGAACGGTGTCTTGTTGTAACCTGGTAGATTAAAGCATACGCTGCGTTATGCGCGTACAGTTTCTAACACTTGCATCAATAACAGCTTGCAGAAACGGTAAACCTGTGCAGCTTAAAAACATTAAGCTGAAAACTTCATAAGTCACGCAACTGCAATAAACATTTGGATAATATTTCACGAATGCGGCAGCATAGAGTTGGAACATCAAAATAAAACCTTTAAAAACTTTTCTGTTACCAGGTAAGGCCCACTGAGCTCTATAGATCTTTTTTAAGAATCGACATAGCCACAAATGATAGCTAAACATAGTGGCTTATCATGTGGAAATGTATAGCAGCCAAATACTCAAAACGCACATTTCTAAAATTTGGGGGGAAAAACACAGAGGACCCGGAGAAAAATCCACGCGAACACGGGCAGAGACACCGCAAACTCCAATATGCAGCAGCAGGCGTCAGGGTCGGGATCGAACTCATGACCTCCTGCATACCAGGCGAGGGGGATAACGTCTCGCCACCGATGACGGTACGGGCGGCGGGGATAGGCGGCGCACGCCGCACGTGAACCAACACGAACACCCCTACCACGAGGTGACGCCAGCTCAATCTGGTTGATCTCGCAGAATCCAACGGGGAAGATGGACGGCGACATGGAGTGGTAGCAGAACCAATCCGTGCCGTCAGCCGCCTCGGAGCCATCGATGCCGATCATCAGAAAGCCGTCACCCAGCACCTGCGCGCGGACGCACGGTCGTCAGGAAGAAGTTAACCACGGGCTCGGCGCAAAAAGGGTTACAAGGCACGTATTGATATATCGCAGAAAGCAAATCGGTGGACCATGCCTTTCGAACGGTAGCCACGCAGATGGAGGACAGGTTTAGCGGGTCGATGGCTTCCAGCTTCATTCCTTCCCGAAAGCACTCCTGCTTCTGGGGCATCTCTTTCACCTGGATTGAGGCACACAACAATGACACACACATGTACACAAAACAGACACCAACAACCAGAACCATGACACACACGCGCATACACACATGGCGTAGCACGATGCCAGATGGTTTGGGCATGTGTTGAGAAGAGACGGAGAAAATGCAATGAGAAGAGCCATGCCAACAGCATAGGAGAGATTGAGTAGAGGGAGGGCGAGAAGGAAAGATAATGTGGGTCAAGATGAGGCAAGTGGAAATGACTCGAGAACAGGCACAGCACAGAAGCAGATGGAAAGCAAAAATAAGCAGCCGAGCCCAATTAGTGATGGGACTTGGTAAAGATATGCGTAATAATCAACTCAGCTTAACAATGAATAAAGATAAATTGTATGGACATTGATGGATAGAATTCCAAATTAAATCTCGAGACACTCACAATGGGGAACAAGTAGGACCCTGCATCTGAACTCCCATCATGTTTCTTGGCTCCTTCTGAAAAGAAAAGCATCATGGCCAGGCCAGCAGTCGGGCGATGGATATTTGCGAAGGTAAAACGAAAGTTATTTTCACACGAATGTAATCTTCTGGCGTCCGTGTGCATGCACGAGGGTTGTCGCAAGGTGACGACAATCGTAAGGTCATTTTTACAGTTTTACCACCGTATTGCAATTATCGTTTTCACGTCGTGGTTGCGCACCAGGGCTCTTGTGCTGGTGCCCAACGGCCCGCGACCAGCCAATGGGGTGGATGAGCGGGCTGCGCATGTGGCACCAGAAGTCGTCCTCCTCGACGCCAGCCACGCTCCCGGCGCCGCCCCCCGCCGTGCCCGTCGCCACCGTGCCGGCGCCGTCCCTGTACGCGAGGCGCAGCCGGCCGCCGATCACACTGTCCACGAGAGCGACGCGTGTCCGGGAGATCTGCGCCTTGTCCACCACCTCCAGACGCATGCCACGCTTGAAGGGAAAGCTCAGACTCTCCTGCACCTGGCGGTGGGATAGGGGATGGGGTGGGATCGGCGTGGGCATGGCCGGAGCAAAGGGAAGGTACAACGGGTAGAAAGGTTAAGATCAAGTCAAGATTAAAGCATTTCGGAAGCGTGTCGGTCATGTCCTGCATCACACCGCTACCGTCAACTAAATCTAGATGAGTTTGTTGTCCTTCCCCACACCTCCGATAAGCACGGTTGGCTACGTACGGTACGAAAGAAGTTAAAACACACACGCAACTATGTCGCGCTTACTTTGGCTTGGAAGTCTGGCGGGAGAGTCTTGGAGCCCGTCAATTTCTTAACGAGGAACGCTTTCCAGTTGGAGCACCTGTGCATGATCGCTGAACAGCGTTCAACGCAGGCAGACACACGTAAACACACGCCTTTAGATACGCGTCCCAACATGGTCCACACATTTCACCCGGACAATAAAGCACAGGCAATATAGCAAAACGTCTCATTGAAAAACTGGTCATAGTATACATTTACACAAGTGATGCACAGGCGTGAGAACGATAAAATTTGTGAATTTGCAGTCTGCGTTGGCACTGTCCGCTGGCTTACTCTGCGGCGGGACAAGCGGCTTGCCAATGGTTGCGCACCAGCCGATGGGGTGCACATCCGGCGTGCAAAGGTTGCACCAGAAGTCCCGGCTGGAATCACTCTCGTAACCCTCGTATCTGAGCAGACCCTTGTAACCTGAGTTAGAGGAGAGGCAAGAGGTTACATCGTGGATGGTGTGGTGGAGCAGTGGAAATGCTTGTGCCTCATGGCAAGACTGGCCCGGGATCGATTTCACGACTCTGGTGCTTTGCGGTGTGCTTTGTACGTTCTCTCGCTGGTCTGCATTGGTTTCCTACGGTTTTATCTCACAGATAAAAAATTTACTAAAACAATGGAATTGGTATTGGCCAACATCCCAATGCTGAAATATGTACTTGAAAATTGCTCAATTTGGATTACACACAGTAACGTCAACCACCAACTACAAAAAACTTTGTAGGGCCCTACTTAAAAAGTATCAAGCCTCAATGGAGGCTTCTCCTGGGTAAACAAGCGTAATAATAAAACAGAATCTGGTTCACGTGAGCAGCTGTGCAAGCAGATCTTCAGAGCGACGTCATAAACGGCGGCCACTTCACACTCACCTGCCAGCTTGATAACCCACGCGATCCAGAACACCTTGCTGGATACCACGCAGTCCGTGTTCACCACTTCCACCCTCATGCCCTCCGTTATGTCTCCCCAGTGATCCGCCATGGGAGCCTGCGAACATCAACGCGCATGGTGAAGGCAGAGGCAGAGCGCAAGCTGGCGGGCCACGCTGCACGCAGGCTGCAATTCGGCACTGTGGAGACGAGGGTTGATGGATCACACACACAGTTGTGAAACTCCGCCTCTAGCCGCAGGCATCAAGGTTGCTATCTCCTGGCCTACCAGGAAATTACATCACAGCAAGTAATTTAATTTCCATCTGTATGGGGATTTAAGTGTTATCCCCCCTCCCCCACTTGCTTAGGACATCTCCAGGTACTCAGGTTTCCACCCACATGTAAAAACGCTCATCAATGGAATTGACCAAACATCCCTATATAGTACCATAGAGCTTGGGCAATTGTTGGCACCGGTTCTGGTTGCCTTCCCGCTTGTTTGTCATCTCCCGCACATTCAATTAATTTTCTCTGCGACCGAACAATACCTGTGCGCGTTGAAAAATATGAATTGATATGCTACGTGCTCTGCATCCAGAGCATCAAGTGTACGAAATGACCGATTTAGAATGTAAAAATTCACCAAAGAACAGCAATCAGCAGTGTCCATCATAAACAGGTACAGTAATCAGGTACAGTATAAGAAAAATGCGTTGCCATTTTCACACGTCGCCCACTCACGTGCTTGAAGCAGCCGACGGACGCTGCGGTCAGACTGTTCTTCCAGATGTAGCGCCCCCATTCAAAGCCATCCGACGGCGTTTTTACTGCAGAGAAATTGGGACATGGGAAACGCAGGTTTTACTATTGCAAAAGAAGATTTTTATTTTTTCCCAGATAAGCTCCCACATTGTTTAACGTTTGGAAAGTGTTTTTTACTGGCCAAAACCACGGAGGCACAAAGAGGCTCACTTGATTTGCGCTTGGCCTGACTCTGCAACGTAGCCTGCAGCATGCTGCTTTGCGTTAGCTTGGGTGCCATCGGTTTTGGCAGCAGTTTGGCTTTTTTCGATGGCGATTTTCCCTGCAAATGAGAAACATGGCCACTTTTCAAGTATAATGCACTCACGTAACACAGTTCAAATCAGACAGTCTCCGATCGCCAATGTATTTTGCTCCAGGAAATAGGAAAACAGCAGCGTCAGGCACCTGCAGGCGGGCGAGCACGCTGGCCTTCTTTGAGTTGGAAGAATAACTACGCGAGCAGGACACGCTGCAGAACCGCTTTGTTTTGGAGTAGAACGCGTCCCTCACACCCACCATGCCACACATTTCACAGGTAGCTGGAAAGAAACAAAATACATGTTACACTTAAAAAAAATAATTGTTCAATGACAACAAATTTTAAAAGACCAAGGGAACATCCATTGTCAATGTGGTCGTCTGAAGAATGCGCACAATGGTCCAACGAGGAACACGGGCACATCCTCCACCACCTTACTCCACCCTCTCCCCGTGGTCTTCTGTTCAACCTTCCAGTCTGCCTAATCCAAAAACACGTGAGGTGCCCTGCGTGTGGGCCACTCGGGACAGAGGGAAAGAACGTGGGCCCGGCACACATGCACCCGCGCGGCTCCACTCACCCATGCCCGACTTGCCATCAGGATAGGTATACACCTGCCCGTTGGTCTTGATGACGGGGAGGCTGGCCGGGGGAGTCTGCACCACCTCATCTTCGCTCTCCTCCGAGCTGCTGCTGCTGTTGCCTCTCTCGTCAGAGCTCTCGTAGCTGTCCATCGCTCCGCCACTCGGTGCCGCGCTCACGCCGTCACCAGCCCCACCTGTCCGGTGGAAGCGCGGGGAACGCGGACTCACGGTCGTCAACGCTAACGATGGCTCAACGGATCGCAGCGACTCATGCTGAACCACGAGTGCCACAACTCAAGGCAGCGAGACGATTGCAGAGCACTGCATCTCAAGGTGATGGGCATGTTGATACAATTGGCTTTGTCTATGCCACTTCCTTTATTTAAAAAGCGAGAACCAACCACACTTCACAATTGAAACACCGTGCGGAACTTTAAATGACAGAGTTATAGATATTGTAGATTACGCAAAGATAATTTTAATAAGCTTAAACATTTCAATAAAGTGTTGCATTCATATTTTCATAAAATCTTACTTGCCTCTTACCTTTCCAAATAACAATAGTGAAACTTTCCTGCGTTAAAAAAACACCTTCATGTCTGACTAAACCAACTGCCCAAACCGGATTTTGCAGCCCATCAATGTCAGCTATGGTACATCTAAGGAAAGGAAGTCACTTAAAGAGCTGTCGGCCATCCAATTCATCATAGTTGCTACACCCAGGGTTACAAAGCTGGGTTGGGCTAATTTGCCTCGTGCTCGCACACATTTAAAGACCCGGTGTAAAATACTCAGTTGTTTCTGTTCTTTAAACTGCTCTGTATGTTGAAAGGCTAAACAAGCATGTATAATCAATATTCTCGAATATATTCCCATAACTAAAGGCCAACCACGTCACACCGACATGGGAAATAAACTACGTAAATTGTATAGTTTTGGGTTCATGCCTAAACTACCCAGCAATGCCAGTACACATCGTTGACATTGAGAACCACCAAAGGCTTTTAAACGAACAAGGTGTGTAAAGATAGCTGTTGACAAAATTACAGCATTGAATTAAAATACAAAAACACTGCAGCAATGTTCCATATGGCAGATGCCCACGGTTGGTATTCATTCAACACAAGGTAGATTATTCACACTCGAACTGTGTTACGTGTATATCTGAATATGGAAATGGATAAATAGTGAGCAGAAGAAGCATGCATATTCTCTAACTTTAGGTTTTACATTGCGAGGGCAAAATAATTATTCGTTTACCGAAACATCCATCTCGTTGGTACACGAAGCAACAATGCAAGCCATCGTGGGGGAGTTTGTTTAATGTAATTAAAGGGGTGATCTGTTTATAAATACCCCATTAAAATAATACGGAACTTAAACAAAAGCAGCATTTAATTTTATCCCACACATCATGACCTATACGTATTACAGTTTACAACTTTATTTGTAACACCATGCCATAATAGCACTTTGCTGATTAAGTTACTTCGCAATGAAATTTGCACAACTGAAGAAATGCTGCTCCTAATCAAAAATACTGTAGAGAAAGAATAAAGAGCTATACATCACAACAAGCTAATTTAGTTTCGATTTAAAGCTTTCGTGACTGCAATGATTCATCTTCTTTGGTTCTTTCGCTAAAGTCACGTTGAATGAGAATAAAATAATAAATTGATAAAATAAAATAACACAATAATATTCTCACGACGTTTCGGCCACAACACAAGCGGCCTTCATCAGGTGAAGGGACGAGACTGTCTGGTAGGACTCCAGCGCTAATATTCTCACGACGAAACGTCGTGAGAATATTATTATTTTATTTTATCAATTTATTATTTTATTCTCATTCTACGTGACTGGAGACTCCCACTTAATTGTTTGAGCCACGGAGTTATTTGCGAATGCGCACACACACAGACGACACGTTACGAAAACTCCAACCAACATCATCAAAAAGTAATAATGGTTTTATGGAAGCATCAAAATAACTATCCACAAAATGCCGATCTACCCAGCATTAAAAGCTGCATGTTGTTCCAATGCAGGATGGCAATAGCTTGGAGAGGACTTAATTCAGGAATGGATTGATATGAATGGCCGATGACGATGATAGCACGTCGTGTACTACTTATCGCATTCAGCCCGCGACTGCTCAAGGTCTCTCTGCGTGTGTAAATGGAATGAACAAGACGTGCACACACACCGTGTCATTTCGGACAGAAGTTTGAGCCTCCAATCGCATCCGCCAAGTCACACGTGGTGGAAGCGGCGGCAGCAGCACAAAGGCGGTCCGTGGCAGTGCTGCTGCGTGGACATTTCCACAGCGAGACAATAGCAGAGACAGCGTAAAAACTGTGCTGCAAGGCACTGCACAGCCCAAACAAGCACATCAAGGAGTGTAACACTCACCATCCCTTTCTAGTCCGCCTCACTGTTTAACCATCATGTACCACTTCATTTACATCTCCCTCTTGCACAATCCCTCATGTAACTATCTCTTCGCTTCACGTATTGCATCTCATTCCCCCCCTCATGCTCTCCTTTCCCTCGGTCGCGTTATCGCTCTCAACACACGAGAATCGCCTCACACAGAATCACAAGACAAAACACGGTCACACCGCACACCACGATAACCACCCCACACACCTCCCTCTCCTTTTGTTCATCACAGTTGTCATCTCACTCTCCCGCTACTCCTCTTCTATTTACCCACGATCTCCCCCCCACCCCCGTTGCGTTTCCCTCCTCGTGTTGAATCCGGAGCAGCACAATCATCGCACACGCCGAGCATCGCGACAAACCCACGCGGGCACCACCACCACCACACACCATCACCACACGTCCACACATCATCACAAAATCTCACACACACCATCACCACACGTCCACACATCATCACAACCCCCCCACACACACCATCACCACACGTCCACACATCATCACAACCCCCCCCACACACACCATCACCACACATCATCACAAAACCTCCCACACACCATCACCACACGTCCACACATCACAACCCCCCCCCCCCCACACACACACCATCACACGTCCACACATCATCACAACCCCCCCCACACACCATCACCACACATCATCACAACCCCCCCCCACACCCCATCACCACACGTCCACACATCATCACACCCCCCCCCCACACACCATCACCACATGTCCACACATCATCACAACCCCCCCCCACACCCCATCACCACACGTCCACACATCATCACCCCCCCCCCCACACACCATCACCACACGTCCACACATCCCACACGTCCAAACACCATCACCAGATGTCCACACATCATCACAACCCCCCCCACACACCATCACCACACGTCCACACAATCTCACACACACCATCACCACACGTCCACACATCATCACAAACCCCCCCCCCCACACACCACCATCACCACATGTCCATACATCATCACACAATCCCACACACACCATCACCACACGTCGACATCATCACAACATCCCACACACCATCACCACACGTCATCGCGACAACACGGCAGCATCAGCATTCATAGCACGTCCTGGCCTTACATGGGGGGGCAGGGGGGGGCGGGCGACGATACGAATTAAACGTTAGGAAAACATGGATTCAAACAATGACCAGAAATAATATACACGGAAACAGCAACGTAAACATTAACAGCTCCACCACCAGGTAGCAGCGGTAGCGGCAGCCACAACAAAGGCGCTGTGCTGGCTCCCAGCGAGCTTCATGTGGCGAAACAACGAGAGATGTAACTCGCGCTGCTATGGGAAACATCGCACACGCTTCCTGACAAGCCGAACAAAATATAAAGGTAGTTTTTTTTTCCCTCCCGCGATTAAAGCGTTTCACGACGACGCGTAACGCTCGTATAAAGCGAGTTTAAAAAAAAAACACAATTAAACAAACAAAACACAAGGCATACAATAGGGCGATTGAAACCTGAGAAACTTGTAAAGCGCGGCCTTTACCCGGGACATGGAGGGGGGTGGGCAGCGGCGGCGGGCGAACGGCGAGACTCGGGGGCGAGCTTCAACCCCGACACACCGAGAGATCGCGGCACAGCAAACAACCGAGGAGGACGACGAGAACAGCAGCAGCAGCAACAACAACAGGACAGTGATATACAAAAAAAATTAAACAAATAAACTCAGCGCGCGCGCACAGTCGGCCGTGCCACACGTAACGCGCGCTCCTATTGGCCGAGGCGCCCCGTCACGTGCCGTTTATGGCCAATCCGCGGGCGCGTAACAAAACTGAGGCGCGCTTTGTGTTTTAAGTTTTAATTTTAATTTTTGTTTCGGGGGTCGGATTTGGGCGTTTTTGGACGGGAGGAGTTGAAATGTACACCGTGGCTTGATTTGTTTTAATTGTTCTCGCGTCGTGTGTCTGCAGACCGGAAATGTTGCACTGTACAATGCACTGTAGTACAGTGCAGGGCGCACGGTGCTGTCACGTGCGCGTACAGTGCTGCTGTGATTGTCTCCATTAACTTAAAATGTCATGGGCCGTTTTGTCTAAGTGCCACATTAAATACCCTGTAGCTTGCTAGACGCGTGCTGCACGCTTGTTTATTATCTCATTGTTCAGGTGATTGGCATGACCCTTAACTGCCCTCGCCATATGAATGTGGAATTTCCACTGCGGGCTCTTATATTTGAATCGGGGAAGAGACTCGCTGACTGTCACGGCGCTTCGCGGAAATTCACTGTAATGACGCTTCATTCATCCACAGCATCTGCCACTTGTTAAACGCTCCAGTATAGTTTAAAAGGTTTGCCAAATATATAGGTACCCCACTAAAATAATACATTCTCGAGAAAACATTTTAGTTCTTAGCCTCTGCGCGTCTCCCACCAATCTCAATACAGTTTATGAATTATGTTAACACTTTTTGATACACTTTGTACAAATTAGCCTGTCCTGTTCTTGCGAATAGCAATATGTTCAGGAGCTCAATGCCAATGAGAGCTTTGATCACTATACAGGATTCAAGGATTCACTTGCTGAGAAGTTTATAAATGGATGGCTCTTTACGAGTTCTGCATATGCAGTAGTGATTTGTTCTCGTTATTCTGATTAATCCGAAAACCAGGCTTGAATAAGAAATGTTGGATGATGCAATAAAAAAAATCATATCCGAAAGCAAGACGTCAGAAATAACAATTACTGTGTTTTGACTAGGTAAAATAATTTTTATTGAATTGATTATAATCGTAATAATCGTGGTTTGGAGGATATCTTCATCCAGCAGTGGATTGATAATGACTGACGAAAATGCTCAGATAATATTTGCACATTCTTAAAGGGAGAACGCTGCTGATGGCGACCTCACTGAACATCTGTGAAAGAGCTTCATAGCTCATCGTATTAGTCCAGTCGATATAAAGATTCTAAGATTGACAAATTATCCGGTAACTCGCTTTTTTGCCCGTCCAAGGACGGGTGCATATGGCAGTAAATCTGAAATATTCAATAGAAAAATTGTTCAGCTCATGATTATTAATGAGGGGGAGGGGTTGCCCCATGTGGAGTGACGTCATCCGCTAATGGTTATTGGGGAGGGGTGCGGCATGTGGAGTGACGTCACCCGCTCATGATTATTAATGAGGGGAGGGGTGCCGCATGTGGAGTGGGCGACCTTCTTTGTGCGTTCGTGTAAATTTCCACGCGCGTATGAATATGAATGAAGGGAGGGGGGGGGGCTCTTTTGCAGTGACGTCACGCACGGATGTAGCAGTGTGCTGCGTATATTTCTTTTTACCGTTACTCTCTTTAAAGAAACGTCATATTTAAAGCGACTTTGCGTAATAAATTATTGAATTCAGCTCGACCTGCGTTCGTGTAAAAATCCACCCACTCATGAATATTAACGAGGGGGGTGGGCCTCATGTGGAGTGACGTCACGCGCGGGACGGACAGACATTTCTGTGTGATTATAGTCGGCAATACTGCTGCATTGACAGAGGTGGTGCACAAGCAGAAAGAACAAAACAGTCAACACATTTGTCAATAACACTGTGCTATTAACAAGGACATTTAATAGGCGGCGTTCTGGGCGATTGCCCTTCTTCATAGCACGTAAATGTAAAGGCCAGGGAGATAGAGTGGATCAGAGATGGAGACTGCACTTTACAGCATAAGATTGACAAGAGGGCTGTTACAGAGCCGCGTGCGAGGCATCTGATTGGCTACTGCAGCCTCATCAGATGATTGAATCAATAAGGAGGGTTTCATCCAGCGGTGGAACTATAAATTCAACCTTAGTTTGATTTCAACTGTTTCCCCTGGATTATCCCTTGAGGTGAAACATCTCGTTTGCAAGCGTGTCCATGGTGTCAAATTACGCGTAGAAAATACGTAAAGACACGTGTGAAAAAACTAAATCAACAACTTATTGTGTTTATATAATACAATCTCTCTGGAATATATCTCTGCTATGAAGGATCATTGCCCGAAACGTCGCTTGTTGCTTTCCTTTTGGGACCGTATTATTTAAAATGTGCTGAGATGAGCTCACGTGCATGTGCACATGAGCAATATGATTGTATACCTGTCAACTCCTTATCAGTGCCGACCTTATTACAGACCAATTCAGACCGTATTGGTTACCCCGTGCCCTTATAAATCTCAAAGTTAATCCTACAAAGTCCCATCACAAGGGAGAAACACGAACAATGTGTTTGTTGTTAGCCCGTATTGAAACGGCTGTACGCCATATGGACCTGCAAACTCAGGTATGTGACTGGCTCCTGCAGCCTCATTCACTAATTGAACCAATGGGGGTCTCATCCGGCAGTGGATGGACAATGGGGGTCTCATCCAGCAGTGGGTTGACAATGAGGGTCTCATCCAGCAGTGGGTTGACAATGGGGGTCTTATACAGCAGTGGGTTGAAAATGGGGGTCTCATCCATCAGTGGATGGACAATGGGGGTCTCAGCAGCAGTGGATGGACAATGGGGGTCTCATCCAGCAGTGGATGGGCAATGGGGGTCTCATCCATCAGTGGATGGACAATGGGGGTCTCATCCAGCAGTGGATGGACAATTGGGGTCTCATCCAGGAGTGTATTGACAGTGGGGTCTTATCCAGGTGGATTTACAGTGGGGGTCTCATCCAGCAGTGGAGTGACGCACGTGCACGTGTGAGGAATCCGATTGGCTGCCGCTGCATCACCAGCTGATTGAGTCAATGCGGTTTAACATTTCACAGAGCGCACTAACCCCCTGCGTAATCCAATAGGCCGCCGCACCTCACGTGAACCAATCAGATGTCGTATCGCCCTGAGCGAGGGGGGGTGCTAATGCGATCTACAATTTCCAATCGCGCGTCGTAATAATATTGCTACTATTGATAAGAGCCCCGGGGGGCGACACTTAGATTCCTTAGCACGCATAGGCGGCATGTGCCTCGTGCCACCGTGCGAAGCTAATGGCTATGTGGGCCTTATCTGGTAAAAGAAAAAAATAAAGTTTCATTTGTATATATATTTTAAGTGATTTGTTTAGCCTTTCCTATACTTTGCATTTCCATCGCGTTTTTGTGTCGTTTGTTGTTACGAAGTTCTGACCCCGTGTCCCTACTGGACATCTGTGTGGGGGGGAACAAAGAGCTTTATAGCTCACCGGATTCCGATTCTGACCGCGACCAATGGGGGGGGGGGGGGGGGTGGGGGCCGGTGAGCTGTCACGTGCGCCGCGCGGGTCAAATCAGAGTGCGCGCGGGGCGGGGCGGCGCGAGGTTATATAAAGCGCGGGCTGCGGCGTCACCCGGCGCAGTCGCGCGGTGGAAGGAGGCGGAGGTGGATGAGTGGGCTCCGCCCGGAGGCGTGGGCCGCCCATACGCAACAACAACAACAAAACACCGCCACCACCGCACCGACACACGCTCAAATCACAGCGGTAGACATTTGACGAGCAAAACGCAACCCGTCGCGGGTTTGTTATTTTTGTTGTAACGCTAAGTGCGATTTAAAATAAGACGGGTCACATTTGCTCGAGCGACGGTGGGTGGGGTGTCGTCGCCACAGCTGTCAAAAGAAAAAAAAATCGCCTGTTCGTGGTTCAATAAAAATATATATATTAAAGGGCGGGCCCGGCCAGACGACCGGCGCCCTGGGGGTGGGTGGGCGAGCGAGCGAAGCAGACCCCTCGCATTTATTAATTAACAACACCGACAACAATCACAGCAAGCACGCACAACGGCACCGGCTAATTAACGACGCGAAATCAACAACCCCCCGCCAACTCAAACCGGCGAGTCGCCATGGAGCTAGACGATGGCGTGCTGTACCAGGACGACTGCAACGTGTCCGTCATGTCGGAGCGGGTGTCGGGCCTCGCCAGCAGTATCTACACGGAGTTCGAGCGCATGATCCGGCGCTACGACGAGGACGTGGTGAAGGATCTGATGCCGCTCGTGGTGAACGTCCTGGAGAATCTGGACGCGGTGTTCACCGAGAACCAGGAGCACGAGATCGAGCTGGAGCTGCTCAAGGAGGACAACGAGCAGCTGATCACGCAGTACGAGCGCGAGAAGGCGCTGCGCAAGCAGACGGAGGAGGTGGGTGGGGTGAGAGAAGGCTGGGTTGTGACTGTTGGGGGGCGAGTGAGGAGGAGGTGATGGCGAGGTTTTGTGGATGGGGTGAGCGAGTGCGGTTGTGGGTGAGTGCGAGGCTGAATGGGTGAGTGTGTGAATGTGGGGGGCGAGTGAGGAGGAGGTGATGGAGAGGTTTTGTGGATGGGGTGAGCGAGTGTGGTTGTGGGTGAGTGCGAGGCTGAATGGGTGAGTGTGTGAATGTGGGGGGCGAGTGAGGAGGAGGTGATGGAGAGGTTTTGTGGATGGGGTGAGCGAGTGCGCTTGTGGGTGACTGGGCAGATTGGTGGATGGGTGGGGTGGGTGAGAGGATGCGTGTGTGTGTCTTGAGGATGGATCTGTGAGGGTGGATGGGTGTGAGGGCGAGTGAGTAGGTGATTGAGGTTTCGTAGATGGGTGAGCGAGTGAGTTGGTGGTTGAGTTGACAGATGGGTGGGTGTGTGGGGTGTGCGAGAGGATGAGTATATGCTAGGATGAGTGTGTGGTGAGTTCGGTGGGTGAATGAGTGAGTTGGTGGGTGACTCAATATATCGGTAGGTGAGTGTGCTAGTGGATTGATGTGCCAGAGAGGGTGAGTGCTTGAATTGGTGATTGGCAAGTGGGTGCGTGCTACAGTAGATAGGTGGGTAGGTGAGTGAGCAGATGAGTAATTGTGTGAGTTATTGATTTACTGCATGGATGAGTGGGTTTGTGGATGGGTGGACAAGTGAGCAGGTTGGTGAGTCCTGGGTGTACGAGTCCGTGTGTAGATTTGTCCATCACAGGCGCTAAACGTTGTTTGCGCTCTTGGGTTTCCCCTGCAGCGGTAGCGAGGTTTGATGGCACTGACGCCACGAGACCCGTTATGACCTTTGCGTTCAATTAGATCGGCATCCACATCGTTTGCGGAGCTGGCGAGGACGCGGGGAAGCCTTCGTCCAGCAGTGGATAGGCAATGCACAATTAAGTACGAGTAGGGTAGAGCGACAGAGCCGAGTGTCACGTGTGCGTGAGGTCAGTGTTGACTGAGCCCTATCATCATCATCCCTCTGGGGTTGGTAAAATGAGCACCACCTGCTGAGGATGGATCTCTTGATGGCAGGTCACCAGTGGGACTGTCTGTCCTATGCACCGACTCCCCCCACCCCGCCAGAGCAATGACGAATCTCCCAACATTGGCTAAAGGCAGCGAATAGAAACGCGCACAGACCCATTCATTGCTCGTTCGGGAGTGAGGAACGTGCATATTTTACATTGAATATGCGTAGTTTGACGTTACGTGCTACGCAGTACACACTGCAGATGTATTGTAGCTAATGGACTTTAATTGGATGCGTTTTAAAATGTTTTGTTCTGCACAAATGCGTTAATCGGCACCCAGAAAATTACAGGACATCATCATGAACCATGGTCAATCATTCACTGTTGAATGAAGGCATCTCCCTAAGCCACCGCCACATGCCAAAAGTGCAGTACATTGCATACAAATTGAACGGCTGTATAACGTGGCCACTTGCAATACTATAGAAATTAAATAGGCGTGTTTGGATGAAAACTCAGGTAATTGCAGAATACGAGCAATTTGTGTTTTAGCAGCAGGAGAGCGACTCTCCAGTTACGCAGACAAGGATGGGCATTGAAAGCAGAAGAAGTGATTTTGGAAGCAGAGAGACCGAGAGAGAGATATTGGTCAGTGTCAACACACGTGAAATGCGTTCGTCCACCGAAGGCCGTGGGTGATTCAGCAAAAGCAAACACAAATGCCTTCACAGCATCAGGCAGCGCGAGAGAAGACGCACGGCTTGCGCCAGTCCCCCGCTCGTGGGCGTTTTACAATGAAATACCACGGCGATGGCTGCGCTCATTTGTCAATGCATCCGTTTTACAAATCCGCACTGCACAGGGCTTCATTTCTCGTGGAATCATTTTCCTGGACCCCCTCCAACTGCTTTGACTACCGCCCCCCGCGGCCGCCACGCCGACAGCAAGGGTGGGGGGTAGTGGGTGGATAGGGAAATGTTTTCTGGCGCTAAGCCCCAGACAGCTTCTGGCTGAAATGAAACCCAGGCATCCTGCGGCGGCAGGCGAGGTGTAGGTGTGGCCCTGATGATGGTGGCCCTGCTCGCTCGCAGTCATTTCACTGAAATCCATTATCTGCCAAATTAGCTCGATTGCCTTGAGTAATGCCACAGGCGGTGGTGGGCGGGCGGGGGCAGCAGTTTCTGCAAGTATAGGTCTGTGCGTCTCGCTCGCATTCGCCGTAATACAAATCGCGGCATGTTTTCAAGTGCCGGTGAAATTCATATGCCGGTGTGTGCGCCGCCATGTGTCACACATGTTACACAATGTTGCGTGGTTGTGCCTGAGAGGGATTGTGCGTGCAATACCAACTGCAAGGATCTTGTTGAGCACCGCAGTCGAGTCGTGGCCATGCCTGTCCGGTTGCCTTGGTTTGGCCGCCGCTGTGTTCAGCCCGAACAATGTTATTCTGTGCAGCTTCAGGGCGGATTATTAACGTCCCAGGATCGTGAGAGGTGGCAATGAAATATAGGCCTTCATTCGGCAGTGGATTGACCGCAGCTGATGATGAATGATGATGAAGGCTATCGGATGATATTCATGCGGTGCTACTAAATTTGCGCGTCATATTTTTAATAGAATTAAGCACAGACCATTGCTGCAACATTGGCTGTAGAAAGCCTCAAGAAAGATGAATCCACCTTGGTGGCGTCGTAGCCTCCGATTAGCACGGTTGGCTACGTATGGTGCGAAAGAAGTTCAACATACGTAGATATGAACGGTGAGCCGGTGCCAAATTCCCTTGCCGAGCAACACGGCCCGAGCAATCGCGTTGTAGGGTAGTGTACAGTCGGTGGAGCGAGCCACAGTTCATAGCCATTTCCCAGGCCTGTGAATCACTAGGTAAGGTGCTTACAGAATGTGTATCCCTGTTTTATTTGTAATGCCTTGGATTATGATGCTTACATCTGTCGATGTTTGGTTTGCCTTGACACCGATGTTAATGCGGATTCGTAATGCAGTTACAGAACCTCTTGCCGGATTTCCAGAAAGGGCTTGCCACGTTTACCGTGCTCGGGGTTAGTGATGGCACAGCGGCTCCACGCGCTACAATCGAAATGCTGCGATCCGAGTTGGAGGCACGGTGGTGGCGAACATAAGCGGCAAGTGACATCTGAACCGGTCCTGGGCCATTTTTTTCACCAACCCGCACCGACCAGCGTGATGAAGTATGGTCAAATAAACCCCCATAACCGACACGTCGTGGGTATGCATTCATCCAGCATTGGATTGATAGAGCGAAGGTTCAAGTGCTTACGGAATGCATCGCATGTTTTATAGAAATGCATTGCTATATATATGACCAAGGTTCAAGACTTGTCACGTATCTCTTGCCAAGTTGTGCGATGTTTATTTAGCCAGATTGACGAGTCACCCAAAGGCTCTCATTGCTTTGATCATTCTGCGATGGAAATGTGATCAAATGTTAACATCAGTTCGTCCTGGTCATCTAAGTTCAAGTTGGGAAAAAAAACAGGAATTGTGTGCTGCATGTAGGCATGCTTTGACATAGGGGAGTGGTAGTGCAGTGGTTAGCGCACTGCGCTTGGATTTTAATTCCCACTCGAGACCAATAACAGTGGCAAATGTTTGAACCGATTCTAACTTTGACTGAGACGACTCAGCCTTAGTTGTGCACTGGAGAGACAAAGGAGGCCTGGCGTGTTGTTTGCCACCCACCGACCTCGTGTAACATGCCCACATTTCAAAGGTGCTCGCTAACAGCTCTTGCCCCAACAGTCTCTTAAAGGCTATTTTTGACGTAGGAGGATCATTTTGGATTTTAACGGAAGGATGGCAGCCTCTGTAACAATTATTTGGGATTTCAAAATAAAATTGGGAACATTGTTTCTCCCGTGGCATGCTTATACTCAAAATGTCGTTCATCTGGAGAACATTAACAATGCCGCACAAAGACAACGCGATTTCCCTATCGGCCTTGTAGCGCATACCGGAAGCCAGTGACCCTTTTACCGCGCATTGTGCAGTCATAACAATACCGGTGTCGGGTGTCTGTCACGTGGGCACGGCCCCGTCAATATTTTATTTAGTTTCCCTTTGAACTCTCTCTGTTGTGTGCGGTTTTTTTTGTTGCTGATTTCAGTTTAATCTGTCGGGTTTTTAACTTGGCAGGTAAAATGTAACCACGTTCAAAGAGCCGATCGATCCTTTTTATATCTCTCATCTTGAAGCAGGCACGGGTCCTCGTTATATTATCCCTCTTGAAGCAGACGGACTCTGTTGACGAATTGCAAATTGGGCGGTTTTTAAATTGCCGCGTGCCGCTTTAAAAGTTGCAGTCAAGGAATGGAACGCGTCTCAGGATCTGAAGCGGTGCGATCAGCTCGTGTGCACGTGCCTGCAGTGTAATAATCCAGGACCGCGGGAAAGTGGCAGTGGATTGACCACTCATTTGGGTTTGGTATTTTGTTTCGTATGCTCATTATATAATTCTTCAGTCGCAAATCAAAGTTTGAAAGTAACACATTTTCCTGCATCAAACACGTTGGCATTCCATGTAGTCTATAAATTGTTTGCCTTCTTGAGTTTGTATTTGTTTGTCATACCTACGATATTAAACACGCCTTTGGAGTATTTGGCTGCTGTACATTTCCACGTGGTAAGCCACTTCGTTGAGCTATCATTTGTCGCCAGGTCACTTCTAAAAGAGAGCTATATAGCTCAGTGGGCCTTACCTGCTAAAATAAAAATAGCTCAATCGTAAGAGTATAAACGGGTTCTCAGATGTGCTTTTGGGATGTACTGCATTTTGTTCAGTGTGATGGTCCCGGAAGCGCCAAGTAGCTCCCAGCGATTCGTCGTCGGTCATCGAGCCGAGCAACACGCGCGGTACGACCCGAGAACAGAACGGAGAGGCGTACGGCGCAACCGCGAGCCAAGGACAAAAA